GGGAAGAGTGGGACTTAATGGACCCTGCACAGGGGAATCTGCACAGGGATGTGATGCTAGAAAACTACAGGAACCTGGTCTTTCTGGGTAAGAACAGATTCTGTGACTGTCCATACTTCTGTTGAACCATACTTCTTGAGCTTAGGGTTCAAGGATTTATAATTTCTTATGGACATTTTATGAAGTAATTCTATCCCCATTTCCAAGTAAAAGCTCAGCTGTTTGTAGAGTGAAAAATTTATATTTTTATTGGACTATCTTGAAAACTCCATCTTTTTTTGGTCATCCCAGATTTGTTCTGTGATGCAGCATATCTCACCACTCTTGGGGGCACAGATTTGAGCCCTCCCCAGGTACTTTTGTTATCATATGGAACTTTCTGTATTGAACATGCCTTCCACAAGATTCATTGCAATAAACTTCCCTCTTAGTACTACTTTTATGATATCCCACAGATTTTGATATGATGAATCTTTATTTTTTCGTTGGCTTGAAGAAATTTTTGGTTTCTTGTTCAATTTCTTCTTGGACCCATAGGTCATTCAGGAGCCTGTTGTTTAATTTCCATGTATATGTATAGTGCCCTTTCACTTGTTATTAATTTCTAGTCTTAATCCATTGTGGTCAGAAAAAATGCTTGAGATTATTTCAGTATTTTTTAATTTGTTGAGGTTTGATTTGTGACCTAACATAGTCCATCCTGGAGACTGCCCCATGTGCTGATGAGAAGAATGTATATTCTGTAGTTGTTGGATTAAATATTCTTTAGCTATCTGCCAGGTCCAATTCATCTAAAGTATAATTTAAATCCTGTGTTTCTCTGTTGATTTGTTGCCTAGATGATCTGTCCAGTGCTGAGAGAGGGGTGTTCAGGTCCTCCACTACTATTGTATTGGGGTCTATCTCTTTCTTTAGGTCTGGTAGTGTTTTCTTTATATATCCAGGTGCTCTGGTGTTGGATGTGATTATATTTATGATTGTTACATCTCCTTGCTGGATATAGCTGGATAAATCCCTTTATCATTATACAGTGGCCTTCTTTGTCTCTTTTTATGATTTTTGGCTTAAAGTCTGTTTTATCCTATATAAGAATAGCTACTCCTGCTTGATTTTGGTTTCCATTTGCATGATATATCTTTTTCCATTCCTTCACTATTAGTCTGTGTGTGTCTTTACAGATGAGTTGGGTCTCTTGAATATAGCATATAGTTGGGTCTAGCTTTTTAATCCATTACATCATCTGTGTCTTTTAAGTGGAGAGTTTAATTCATTTACATTTAGAGTTCTTATTGAGAGGTACTGTGTTACTGCTGCCATTTTATCGCTTTTTGTTTAGATGTTTTAAATATCTTTTTTTCCCCTTCTTCTCCTTTTATTATTTGTCTTCAATGTTTGTTGGTTTTTTTAGGTGGTAAGATTTAGTTTCTTTTTTACCAGTGGGTTTTGTTCTTTCTTGTGTATTCATGGTAGTGATTATTGTTTTTTGGATTCCTGATGCAGGACTCCCTTGAGAATTGCTTGCAGGGCTGGTCCCACTTTGGGAAAGAAAAAAGAAAAAAAAAAAAAAAAAAAAAAAGAAAGATAAAAAGGAACACATGGCTCTAATCTTAATTTCCCTTATTTTGTGAGTAGTATCATTGTTCTTGTATTCTCCAAGACTAGAAATGATGGTGCTGTTTTTAGTCTCTCTTTCATTCCTCACCTAAATTCACTCTGTTAAATAACCTCACTGTTTTTTGAAGTCTTTTGAATTCTTTCTTACTCGGATTTCCACTTCCATCACTCCAGAGCTTATTCCTTTATGCTTCCCTTACTGCAGCAGCTTTTTAAGGGGTCTCACTAGTTCTGGTTTTGCCTTACTCCAGTCTGGCACACATCATGCCACATTGTTTTATTGCCCCCAAATTCTCCTCTGCCTAATTTTCCAGGCTACTGTAATCCATTTTAATTTTCATCTATTCCTCATCTATATCTTTTATTTGAAGTGTCTCAAGCTCCATATTTTCTCATACTTGCCTTGAAATTTCTACAACCTAGGCCTGTGATCAGTTTCTCCATCTCACACTAGAAATGGGGTCTTTCTAGCAACCAGACTTATGCTTAACTAAGGAGAGAAAGGTGACATTCCAGCAGCTCTGCCTCACTAAATATCCATTTGGAAAGTTTTGGTTAGTTGGTATCCCAATTTCCTGTTCTTTTAACCAGTTTTTTTCTATTGTATGTCATTAGCAAAGGCTTTCACCTTACTTCCTATCCTTCTGTTTTCTGCATCTTTGCTGTCTTCATCTATCTTTGCACAGACTGCTTTGCCTTTCCCTCAGACTACTTTTTTAGAACACTCATTCTTCCTCAAATCTTTTCTGCTTCTAGCTCTTTCCATGTTAATTGGCAAGCAGGCCTCTATCTCCAGGCCTTTCTACATGTTATTCTCTCTTCCCAGAACACTCTTTTCAACAGATATGTGCATTGTGTTCTCCCTCATTTCTTATAGGCCTCCACTTAAATGTCACCTTTTCAGTCCTTCCCTAAAGTATTTAAAGTAGCAACCCCTAAACCTTCCCACCGTTCCTTTATTATTGACCTTTGTATTCCTCCCTGGCCCTTCTCACCTTCTGTCATACTAGATATACAAGTATTATTGTTTGTACTTTTATTGTTGAACTCTCCCCAATAGAATGTAAGCTCACAAGAGCAGGATCTTTGTTCATTTTGTTCAGTGTTCTATCCTAGCATTAGATGCTGTCTAGCACATAGTAGGCACTCAGTAAATACTTGATGAGTGAATGAATGAATGAATGAATCCTGGCAATGACCTCTCCTGTTTGGGGATTGGGGAAATGGTAGTTTTTTTCCATATCTTTATATTGCTTTTCTTTTTAAAAACCCCTACGTAGCTCTTTAAGATGACAAGTTTTTCCTAAAGCCTTCTTGTTTGAGAAAAGAAGAGGCTCAGCCTCAGCCTGCTTCTGGATCCAGAATGCCTCTTTAGACCATCATTCTAGCACAATCATGAATTCCTCCTCATCTAGCCATTATTGTCCCTTTCCACCACCATTAATACAGTTATTTTCAAGTCTCCATAACACGCAGGTTTTTCTTAATGATTTTAGTTCATTGGCCTTCACTCACCCACATTTTAGATCAAATAATTGTGAAAAATAGTTCATTCTGCATGATATCAAACTTATTTCTCCATCTTCTTTACCACCCTCCTACTGCACCGTTGAGCCTGGTTAGCTGCTCTGTGCACTCACCATACTGCTCTGGTGACTCCTTCAGCCTCCTGTGTCTCCATGTGTTTCCTATCCATCCTATACAGTTTGCATACCACAGCATTAGGTTTTTATTCAAAACTGTTCAAAGTTTCTTCAGAACTGTTTCATCCCCATACATTTCTTTGTTCCTCTCATATTTCTCTGTGCCAGTAACACATTCTGAGTGACCTTTCTTCCTATATTTTATTTGGTCCTGGAGAACAGTTTTTTATTGGTCTTTAAAAAGCGTTTTTTTCTTTTTAGCATTTTAAAGAATTTAAAGTATTTAAAGAATTTTTGCCTTTGAAAATTTCTAATTTTTTTTTCAGGCACTCATATTCATTCTGATTAATTGGCACTGTAATCATGACTTTTTATCTCTTCCAACCCCAAGGGAATGGTCATAAAATAAATTATTCAGAAATAAATGTTTCCAAGCACCTGTTCATCTGTGCATAACTTGTATGTAGTTTAGGTAATTTTATAACCATTCATGCATTAACATTTTTTCCTTTCCAAGTTTTATAATTTTAAAAACTCAATTATCTTTTTCCCCTGGATCCTAAGTATGTATTACAGTTATAAATGCTTTTTGCTGTAGCTTTAATTCTGATTATACATGTGGTATCAAGTCTGAGTAAAGCAGGGTATTTTATGCTTAAATAAAAGCTGCTAAAATATAAAATATATTGTCAAAATATGGTTTATATTGATAAAATAGGTTTCATTAGCTGAAAATGAACTTCTTAAAATCCTTAACTTTATTTCCATAAATGTATTTAATTTTAAATAAATCTATAAATTACTTTCTTTTTGTTTTTAGCATAGCCTTTTATTTTCTATTCTGCTAGGCTGAGCCTCTATTATTCCCCCTCTTCCCACCTCAGGTGGCCCAATGTTAGCAAACATATGTATTGCATATTTTTCTCTGTAGTCATATAATCTTACATACATATATACACATATATAAACATCAATATTCACATATGGGAAAGTTGGTCATTGTTTTGCAAAAATGGCATTATATTTTATACATCTGCATATCTTGCTCTTACCTTATAAAGTCCCCCTACATCATCTATAATGAAGATATAATGCTTATGGCTTTTAAAAATTCTTTATGGCTGTCTTATTCCATTTGTGGTACTAGCCGGGTAATTTATAAACAATAGAAATTTATTTCTCAATGTTCTGGAGGCTGGAAGTCCAATATTGAGGCACTATCAGGTTCAGTGTCTGTTGAGGGTTCAATCTTTCTGCTTCCAAGATGGTGACTTTTTGCTGCATCCTCCAGAGGGGATGAACACTGTATCCTCACATGGCAGAAGGGACAGGAAGGCAAAAAGGGTCTAAGCTAGTTCCCTCTGGCCCTTTTGAAAGGCAATGATCCATGGCTTATATAAGGCAAATTCCTCACGATTTGATCACTTCCCCAAAAGGCCCCACTTTTTAATACCACCACAATGGAAATTAAGTTTCAGTATGAATTTTAGAGCTAACACCATCATTCAAACAGTAGTAGTGGCTATATAATATTCCATGGTATTGATGGATGTGGAATCAAAAGCTAATAAAGTGATAATTCATTGTGACATTTTTTGCTTTAAACAAGTGATCAAAAATCATTTTATTAATAATTATGTGGCAGGAATTTGACCCTTTTCAGTTTAATTGTCAGGCTTACATCAGTAATTAACTTTCTCTCTTGCATTGGAAATAATCTTTTGCTTTTTTCATCTCTTTCAGACTGGAAGATCAGATTTGAAATCAAGCAACTTGCTCCTACAACAGACATTTCTGAAAAAGAAACATGACAGGGGACCATAATAGGAAAATTCATAGAAAATGATGCTTGGGACCTTAGTTTAGGAGAATTCTGGAGAAGAGACAGCAGGTTATTGAAACAAGGTAGATGGGATAAAAATTTGAGTAAAGATTAATTATCCATGAGAATACACTCACTTGGAGAAAGTGACTTTTGGTCAAAGTCTATTCTTAAAGAACAGAGAATTCTTATAGAAGACAGTCATCAAAAAAGTGTTCTGTATGGACAAGTTGCAAAGAACATTCAGAGCTGATTATTTAAACAAGAACCTAGCTGAGCAAGAAAATTTGCAGGACTACTAAAATCAACAAAGTGTGAGTCAGGCCTCAAAACTTACAGTAGATAGGAAAATTAATGGTATAGAGAAATCTTATAAATGTAATATATGAGGAAAAGCTTTTAGTTTTAGGTCATCACTTGTTCAACAACAGAAAATTTATACTAAAGAAAAACCATATGAATGTTGTGAATGTAGGAAGCTTTTCAGTCAACCTGTGTACCTTAACCAACATTAAAAAATTCACAGTGGAGAAAAATTATATAAATGTAATGAATGTGGGAAAGCCTTCATTGTTTCCTCAACTCTAATTGTCCATCAGATAATTCTTACTGAAGAGAAATTTATAAGTGCGCTGCCTGTGGAAGAGCTTTCAGCCGATATGAACACCTCACACAGCATCTGAACACCTTCACGCCATCTGAAAATTCATGGCCATATCTATGCCATGAATGTGGTAAAGCACTCAGACATCAAAAGTTACCAAACATCAAGGTATTCACGCTGGAGAGAAGCCCTACAAATGTAGTATTGTAGGAAAGCTTCCAGTAATAACTTATACCTTACTGTGCATATGGGGATTCATTCTGAGGAACAGTCATACAAATGCAATGAATGTGAGAAAGCACTCAGGAGTATTCCAGATTTCACAGTACATCAGAGAATTCATACTGGAGAAAAGTCATATAGATGTAAGTAATGTGGGAAAGCCTTTAGAAATAATTTAAGCCTTACTGTACGTCAGAGAATTCATGCTGGAGATAAACCATATAAATTTAATGAATATGGAAAGACCTTCCTGTGTTCCTCATCTCTTATTATGCATCAGCAAATTATACTGAAGAAAAACCTTACTAGTGTAATGAATGGAAAAACCATACAAATGTCCTGATTGCAATAAAGCTTTCACTCAAATGGTAAATTTCACAGAACATAAGAAGATTGACTCTGGAGTGGAACCATGTAAATGTACCAGTTGTTGGAAATGTTTCAAGAATAGCTCACACCTTACTGTACATCAGGGAACCTATCCTGGAGAAAAACCATATAAATGTAGTTAATGTAGCAAGCTTTCATCAGTATGTCACAACTAACTCTGCATGAGCGAACTCATACCGGTGAGAGACCTCACAAATGCAATGACAAGTAATTCTGTCTTTAATGCCCATTAAAGAATACACACTGGGGAGAAGTCATTTAAATGTAATGACTATAGGAAGGCATTTAGCCAAATGATACATTTTATAGAACATCAGAAAATACTTACTGGGGAAGCCCCATAAATGTGATGAATATGGAAAAGCCTTCAGAAGAGGTTCTTTTCACACTATGCCTTTGAGAACACATACTGGAGAAAAGCCTTATACATGTAGTGAATGTCAAAAAAGCCTTTGAGACTAATCCTTACTTTACATTGGAGAGTACATACTGGAGAAAAACCTTGTAATGAATGTGGAAAAGTTTTCAGGAGTAGTTCAAACCTTACTATACAACAGAGAATATTTCAAAGAGTATGAATAAAAAGAATGCAAGATGTCATCTGATGTCAGTTTTCAGACAGTACCAGAGGAAACATACTGAAATAAATTTTATACATTGAATCAATGTGGGAAGAAAAATGTTCAAGAATTATTTAATATTGTTTACCAAAGAATACATTCTTCAGAGTGAAAACTTATAACAAGTGCAAACTTATAACAAATACAGGAAATTAATTATATGTCAAGTCTTATGGCTTATCAGAAAATTTACACTTAAGAGATTAACCATAATTAACATGGAACTTTTTTTTCAGATATCATACATTATCATTCCTTCAGTTTTCATTGAATACCTTGGAAAACACTTTGTAAAGCAATAGTTTAATTTTATAAATGTGGGAGAGTTAATTATGGCAGTAACAGTGCAACTTCAATTAAAGAGTTAAAAGCCACTGGCTCAACAATCTCTTAAAAATGAAAAGAATTATGTAAATTAACAAAATGAAAATTTAGATAGAAAATCAGTTACACATATAATCTATACACAGAAAAAATATGAAAAAAAATTAAATTTACATTATAAAGTCTGTATAATTATATTACAAAATAGTAAGAAAATAGGGAAAAGAAAACCCCTGTAATTCTAACAATCATTGTTTATGATTTTTGCTATATTTATTTATTCTTTTTCAAGATAAAAATATTCTTGTGTTTTTATTGTAGAAATAACATCTTTGGGGGATGGGGTGATAGAGAAGAAATACAGAAACTACATTTTTATTGTAAGTATAAAAATAGAAAGTATGTGACCTACATGCTATCACCCAGAAATAAATATTGTAATGTATTATTCTGGGCTTAACATAAACACACAAACACACACACACGTGTGTATATATACATACGTATATATGTTACACAGATGTTTTCGCTTATCATTACATCATAAACATTTTACCTTTTTTGTGTGTAGTATAACTTGCATATTACAACTAATGAGATAAAGGAATAAGTGACTTGGTATATCACTTTCATTTTAAATCTAGAATAATTTTAAAAAGAGTGCTAGTTCTCCTTTCTTTGGATAAAAATTCAGGCAAGTCCCATAAAATTTTGGGAAAAAATTTCTGTCATTACAATTGTAAAAGTATAGGCACAACTTAGAAAATAAAATATATGTATCCCATGTAATAATCTAAGGATTCAATCTGAACTTGATTTAAATTAAGGAGAGATTTAATTTTAAGTCAAGGTCAGGTTGAATCCAATTCATTGTTTCATACCGGGAACCTCAACGTGCAGAAGGAAAATGTGATCAACTTCTTCCTCTTCTTTTTCCATAACATAGTCTACCTGGAGCACCTACAGGTTTGAAGCTTGCAGAGGGAGAAGAGGTGTGAAAAAATCTTACTTGACTGATACTGTGGTAGGCTGGCCTTGTGCTTTTGGAACATTGCTGAGGTTTGAAGATGACTCAGGATTTCCAGGGGTCCTTAAGCAATCTTCCATTGTTCTGTAATTTTCTTGATTTTTGCTAATGCATTTATACACTATTTTCTTATTCCTTCCTCAGTTCTTAGGAAGCTGACAATGTTTTAGGCTTCTTTTTCTAAAGATCCATCTTTAGAAACAGGATTCAAGAAGATACTATTTCCATCTCCCATGTGGCCCTCATTTGGTCCATATTCATGTGATTCACATTTTGCCTCAAGGAACTCTGCAAGTATGAGTCACTCACGTGACCGCTTATATCCGTATCAGCAATTAGATGCCTCATTTCTTACTCTTTGGGTTTAGTAAGAAGGGGTCAGACATCAGTCTGTGTAGCCTTTAGCTGCAAAGAATGCATATCAACTACTCCAAGAGATTCTCAGAAGTCTTTTTGTAATCTCCAGTATTCAACCAGTTATAGCCTCAATGGGGAGGAAAAATTCAGGAATCATCTAATCAGTTCTTGGCCACCTATTTTAAAAATCTACATCTTATCTGGCCCTTTGTTATCTATCATCTTGGGATTTTTATCAATATTTACATTTTAATATTTTGTTCGAGATACTCTTCCTAAGATTTGTTTTCCAGAATCTATTATCTTGTGAAATTTTTTGAATAACTGCTCATATACAAAACTCAGGAAATTTAAAAGATAGACCTTATTAAAAATGATACTATTCGTGAGTTGATCTTCAAATTTATTCTCCTGCTTAATGTTTAGCTTAGTCCTAGTTTTTCAGTAATGGATATTATGGATTCAGAATAATGTCAATATGGATATCTTCATGCATGTGTCTTTATGTTTTCAATTGTTTTCTTAGGATAAAGTCTCAGATACCAAAATTAACTGTGCTAAACATATATTGGTTTTTATGATGTTTAATCTTGCCTTCTGAAATAGTTGCCTCACTTTACAGTGCCACTAAGAATATATGCAAATACTGTTTTCACTAAACTCTTACGATACCAGAATGCCAACTCTTCTCTTTTTATTCTAACTAATGTAGAGGGTTGGATTGAATGTCCCGAAGAGTATGTTTGAAGCACATTAGGTGACTGCATTTATGTCCCAAGTTTTGTCTTTTTTTTTTTTTTCCTTTTTGTCTTTTTTCGTGTCCAGCAACGGATCACAACCCTCGGTGTTGCACCCGCACCTCGCTCAGCCAGTGAGTGGAACCGGTCTCCACATGGGATCCGAACCCTCGGCAGGAGCGCCACCGTGCTCCCAAGCGGCGCACTGTAGCAGTGCGCCACCGGGCCGGCCCCCCAAGTTTTGTCTTTTTAAAACTTCAACTCTCACTAATGGCATAGATAAATAGATGATGTTGGAGTAGTCGTATGAGATGAGGAGAGTAGAGCCCATTTTCCTGATAAGTCCTAGGGGCAGAGAAGTTATTTTATTTGGGAGGACAGAAAGAAGCAGTAGCAGCTGCCTGAGAGGAACAGTTTTTTGAAGAAAAACTAATAAATCTGATACTTCAGTTGTTTCACTGTACAATGATGACCCATTCACCCAGAGAACGTAAGTAAACATGAAATCCATGTTTCTGGATACAGATTTGAGGTTTTTGTTTGTTTTTAGGGAAACAGAACTAGCCACAGTGGGAGAACGACGCTGGCCTGAGGAAGTCACATTTCCCTTGGTTTACGTTCATTAGAAGGCGGAGGAAATGCATGCTTGTGTGATTTTCATTTGCTCTCAAGTGGCTCTATCACTGGCCATTTATGTATTCAAATATTAGTACTTTTCTT